CACTGAAAACTGCATTTTCGACAAAACAAGCAGGCGATTCGCACAATTTTGTGTAGCGTACATGATGAATTTGTGAAATCTCTGCTTCCCTGAAACTTACAAAGTTATTATTGTTTCTTTAAAACTGGTTTGATTATTCTGATTAAACCGAAAACTTTGATGTTTTTAAGGGTCTACCTCATTATACAACCCCCCCCCCCCCCGCCCACTCCATTAAAATCAGTGTGAAGGAGAATTTATTATTCTGTTAATAGACTGGCGGTGTATAAGCAAAACACCCGCTTAAGTTTGAAAAACGAAATCAGATAAATGCAGACATTTCTGCTTCTAAGACTTTTTTTGAGAAAAGCCGAAAAATAAAAGATAAATCAGGTCGATATTTAAAGAAAAATATGGAAACTATAAGAAGCGTTTAACATTGTTTGATACGCGAATGAGTTTTTGAAATTTAATTCTTGTCAAGCAGTTAAATTTTTTCAAAGTATAGAATAATTTATGAAATAAATTTTACTATAAAAAAAATTTGATGAAGCCAAACTAAGAAATAAAAATTTGATCTATATTAAGGAACATTATTTACAATCCGAACAAAGAAGTGAATTTGAATTTGAACCATAATATTATGCTCGATAGAAGTTTGATCTAGTTGTTTTCATCAGTGACTGATCTAAGACTTTCTCGTAAGGGGGAGGGCGGACTTTCAAAATAATGCAAAATTTTGAAAAAAAAAGGCCAAAAAGGCGTTTTAGGCACGTTTTGGACAGTTATGCCCTAAAATTGCGTTTTTTCGGCGCTCGCTCCCCCTTCAAGATTAGTATATAGTGGCGCCAAAAGCGTGTTTTGAAGAAAAAAAATCAGTGCCGTTTAGCCAAAATTGGATGTCCTTAAATAGGGTATTATGATTTAATCTGAAAAACGACAGTTGCCAAGTGCCAATTTTTGAAAGCAATGATGAATTATCATTATTAATCATGAGTTATGTGTTATTGCCTGTACTCATAGAGTAATTTCAGATAAGGTACACCGTCTGCTTGTCACGCTTATCTTGTTTTCGGCCGGATAGATTTGTGCAACTACTTAGTCTAATACCGATCTTAATCTTACTCTTATATATCCTAGTCTCAGTAGATCTAGTGTATACTGACTTATGCGAGTTAGTTTCCAGAAGGAGAACAACTGTATTCTAAGTTTTATTCAAAGTGCTCTGCTGCTGAAACTACAAGTAGTTTCAGCACTTATAAATAAGTGTAAATGTTAGCTATCGAATATGATTGGTTAGTTAAGAATTATTTATAGAATTAGTGAATTATATTTATAAACAATTATAAATTTTAGTTTAGAACAGGTTTTAAATTAGTCGTATTGAATTAATTACTGACATGTCTTATCATGACTTTCACTTTATGTTCACTCCTTCGGAAAGATAATGCTCATTTTTTAACTAATATTTTATTGATTCATTAATTCATTGTTTTAACTTACTTTTATTCTTTCAACTTGAATTAGTTGTAGCATTAGAATATTTTATAATGCGTCTTTTCTCCTGAAGCAAGAATACTTGTTTACCTGAGTGTCGAATGGGAAGTACTTCACTCTCATTTGACAGGTAAGAGTGATGGTCATAGTAGCAGTGTGAGCAACCACTGTTCCGTCATATATGATCAGCTGTTGCGAGTAGGAACTGTACTTAATCTCCACTGCGTTGTAGAAGATCACATCTGGGGCAACTCTTGGCAAAAATAGAGTGTGAGCCTCAAAGCGTGATGTAGCTCGGTGGTTTAGGCCGACTATAGAGCATGCTCAGGACGTCCCTCTGGTTGGTGAGGCCAGGAGTGGGTATAATCTTGAAGTCTCTTTGTGCAGGGTCTCTTTTTGTGTTCAACCTTTTGTTTCGTTTTCTTACTGTTTTTTCTCTTTTTTGTTTTGATTGTGTCCTTTTCTCAAAATTTGAATCTTTTGATTTGGTTTTGACTTTCGACTTTTTTGTGTTTTATTCGATTGTGGTTAGACTTGAGAGTGATCTTCAAAAGAATAATTTATCCAGTTTTAATTTGGTTTGAGTACCGCTCGCTTTTTTTTCTTAGTCATGCTATAAGTTTGTGGTCTTGTGATGTTAGTAAGCTGCGTTGGTTTTTGTAGTTTACTATATATTTCCTTCCAACCGGGTTAAAGGAAAGTTTGAAACGTGTGAAACCTGGTTAGAGTTGTTATCAGTGAAAGTTAAACCTTAAAATTCATTATTTAAACAATTCTTCGTGGGCGAGCTGAGCGACTGTGGAAAGAATTTATGGGCGAGTAAATTATTCATATTTTATTTTAAAAAGCATCTTGTCAAAAGGTTATTACTTGTATGAATTTATCTGCAATTTTTATGAATTTATTACGTTGAAAAATAAATTTCCAGCTTTTTTTGGGAGGTTTTTAGTTTCTAAATATACTGCTTGGTAAAAAGAAATTTATTTCATTGGGGATCTATTTTTAATTTTTTGCTATTTGTGAAAAATTTTATTTCTTTTTGAGTTTTACTGCAATTTGTTAATATGAATTTCGAATTTTTAAGAAAGAAGTTTTCAATTTTTTTTATTTTTTTGTTTGTTTTCGATGATGGTCTGATGAGATCTAAAAAGAAGTGAAACATTTATAAAGAATGGTTGGTTGTGTTCTGAGTTTACTAGTGAAATTACATAATTATACTTACTTTATCGTCAGCAAAAAATCCATTTGGAAAAACATCGTGAATGACGTCTGAAGTTTTTAGAAGTGTATAGGAAATTATCACCTCATAGAAATTTAGCGTTAAAATGAACTCTAGTTGTGGTCACGGAGAAACTTTTGCTTTTTTGACAAAAGATTAGGTTTAACTACAGGTTTCCTGTCGAATTCTTTTGCCTTCCATTGTGAGGTATTGTTTTTTCCAGTTTTGCCAATTGTCGCATTGACTCGTTTGTTTCAATTAGTGGCAGTCCAGTGTTCTGAGTTGTTCGGATCTTTACTCAGGTCAGTGAAATTGTGTGAGTTTTGATTGAGAATGATTGGTTTTTTATAAGCAAAATTAGCAACATTAACAATTTCGAAGTACCAATTCATCACACTCAACAGATTGTTTTGCATGTCATCTATGTTCGGTATCAACGGCAAAAAACGTGAATTTTGAGATTTTTCACAACGTTCACCGAGGTTTTTTCATCAAATTTTTTCATTTTTTCAGAAAGAAAATTTTTCATTTTTTGAGAACCAAATTTTAAAGCCGGTTTAATTCACTTGTTTCGGTTCCAGTGACAGGTTAGTTTTGGTTCCAGTCTTGTAGTATATTTCCAAAGCTTTTTGTGTTTTGTTTCTTCCCCCTCACGAGAATCAATTTTCTGGTGTACGGAGTTGCTTTACAAGGTTGAGCAAAAATACTGAATTGAAAGATCATGGCCTGATTAGTCCGAAATGTTTGAAACATTTAGATAATTGGACAATTTACAACTCATAAGTTTGGAACAATCGGAGATTCTGAATATCAAAAAACTCAATCGTAAGAATACACAGGAAGAGCCTTCGTGAAGCGAGTTTAGTTTACTTTTAATTAGCTAGGACAATTAATTTTTCAATCGACATTTCAAAAAAAGAGATTGTGTTTCTTTTTATAGTTATTTCAAGTCAAAAATAAACCTTTTTGGAAAAAAATCTAAGTCATTAATTATAATTAACGTTAGCAGGAAAAAATAGCTACAAAAGCTGAAGGTTACAAAACCAGCAAACTAACCAGCTGATCTCCACCAACAAGGCTTAACAAAATTGCATAAAATGAGACTTAATTTCAGCCAATGCGACAGCTGTAGCAGAACAGATTTTTAACTCAGAAAAAAACATCTAAAACCCTCAAACTTTTCCAAGAATTAATTTGGTCCACGTAAAAAGGTGACAAGTCTCAAAGTTTTTTGAAAATTGCCTCCTATAACCTACTCGCCTACCACCCTGCGCAGATTTCTTTGATATGGTTGCAATTGTTGTCACTTGAATTTGATAATTATTTTTGCAAGGCCTTGTCCCTGTTGTTCAAAGTACATCGAATATGTTTTTTCATTCACGTTTCTTCTTCTTTTTGGATAGATTTTTTGAAAAGCGCAAAACTATCTAAGCAGAGATTATGGTCATTCTGATTTCGGCAGACCTCAAAGGTTTTAGTATGGCTGATTTTTAAAAAAAAACGTCTACATTTTTCAAAAAACCGATTCTATCCACCGGTCAAAAATCTCTGCGCATGTTATGGTTTATGAAGCAAACAAAAACTACATTTTTATGCCACATTGAACAGACTTCATTTAATTCGTGATTGAGATGTGTTTTTGCTTCATTTGATGCAAAATGTACAACACAAATGGCTGCTTAAAAAGTGGTTTAACATGACTCTGGTACTCTTAAAGTAACTATGTGATATAATCTGCATCACAGCATCTATTAGCTATTAAGTTTTTCAAAAGATAGACTTTAAGCTGATTTTCAAATGCAAAAACAAGAAAAATTGAACAGATATTGAATAATCAGAAGACAGACGCAGCAGTGTGCCATCAAAATACTTGCGGCAATCTAGAACAGTGAGAGCTCTCATCAGACAATAAACAACTCAACTTGGGCTTCTCACATTGGTGAAAAATGGCTCCGAAAAACTCGCCTGAAAAGATCAAGGAGGTTTGTACACACTCTTTCAAAAGCCACTTGGCCGACAGATTCTAGAAGCCTAACGTCTGAAAAAATAACAATTTGATTTATACTTTTAGTCTGCTAAATATATTTGCTGCACCATGTTCTAAATGTCAAAAAAATGTATATATTCACAATTTTCGCACGTTTTTGAAGGAACACTGACTGAAACTAGATAATAAGGATGGTTTTTGTTTAGTGCGTTTCAGCTTTAAAAAAGTTCAAAAAAGGATTGAACTCAAAAATGAGCAAACTTTCATTAGAGATATTCAAAATTAAACTCAATGTATGACGAGTGAAACGCTTGACGGGTGGCACCTATCTGACAAATGGCTAGTCTGTTTGAGTTTTTTGATCATTCTTATTACCTATAATCGACAGCTCACTTCTTTGTTTATTGTCGTTTTGTTAAACAATTGTCGATTGTGGTCAAATCACAGCACGCGAATGGTATAACAAACATACCAGACATAATAAGCCAAGCCTTTTTCAGCCAATTAATTTGTTAAGCGGTTCCGTCAAACTTACCTACGAATTACTAGCTGACAGGCAAATAACTTACTACAGTCTAGATATATTCCAAATATCCAGATAAAAATTAGAGTATTGAAGTAGTAAATAATTTATTCTGTTCAAGTATTAAATTATTTAAAAGTTATCGAAAAATTAATTTTCTGAATTCAGTTTGCTGAAAATTAGAGAAAAGCGTGTGGCGATCAACATGGTTTCTGAGGTGAGTTTGTACACCGCCGGTTACTTCGTTTGAAACGCGTCTCAGACTTCATATAAGATTCGTAATTGTAAAGAAAATAAAATTCTGGCAGCCTGGAAAAACCCTGATATCAATTTTGCTACATTTTTATTTTTTTGGCATTGTACTGAGAGCAGATATTTGATCTTCGCAAAATGTGAAAAAAACGAGAAATTTTTTTTCAATTGAGAAAATACTCGGCCGCCATCCAAATACAAAACAGCACTAAGAATTTGTGTTTTATTAATTTTGAACTCATTTTTTTTGCCAGTGATGAAATTGAAACAGCTCGTTGTTCATGCTGTGGTCTTTTCGTTCCCCACCAAAAAAACTTGGGAAATTACTAACAAAATGGAAACTTTGAAACGTGGGGTTGTAAAAACACTAACTAGAAAAATAAAACTTGAAATGTGGGGTTTGGGTGGAAAAAAACTTAAAATGTGTGTGTTGTGTGTTGATAGCTAGTGGCGGCACTGACGGCGGACCAGATAGCGGAGTTCAAGGCGGCCTTCGACACCTTCGACACAGACGGCAGTGGGAGCATAGATGCGGACGAGTTGAGCCACATCATGATAACCATGGGCAAGGAGATGTCCCGACAGGAGATCGAAGAACTCATCAACAATGTCGATGACGACGGTAAACTGACACTCTTGAAATGATCACGTGTTTTCACATGAGCACATGTCACGTGTATAACATTCCAAAGAAAACACTGCATGAAAAACACGACTATTCGAATTAAAAAATGGAATTAGGAAAATGCCTGCCAAACTTTTTTTTCTTATTTCGCGTTATTTGCAAAAACTCTGCAATAGATTGAAAAAGCTACAATTTTTTGTCACAATAAAAATTTCAACTTGAAAATACTACAAAACGTGGATAGTTACAATCTTGGAGAAGACACGCACATTTGTATGTTATTCTCCATTGGTTTTACTCTTGGTAATATTCACGCATTCATTAAAAAAATCAGTGACATTCTTCATAGCAATAAGTATACATCTTTCAATAGAGAAAACGGCCCTGAGAGCCCCTTGTGTCGAGAAAAGTCATTCTGAAATTTTAAATTCATAAAAAATTGTACGACAAAAAGTATCCATTTGATAGATTAGTAGTTCAATTTACTTATCTTACCTAGAACAAAAAACACCTATCAAAATCTTCCATGAAAAAAGATAACAAGCCAAAATGTCCCATATACCAAAGTTGCCCATGCCAATAAAAAAGATCCCACAAACTATTAATGAGGTACCTAATCAAAGATTAATTAGAAACAAGTAGCAGAGAATGTTCCGACCACACTCTTAAGAAAATACAAAAATGTTTTCTCAACATGGTGTCGTTTTTTTTCTGCATGTTGTGACAAAAAATCTGAAGAAAAAAATAGAACTTAGGCATATTTGAGAGTCATAGTAAAAATGGGTTATTAGAAAACAGTTTTTGAAGAAAAACGACTAAAAAACGATAAAAAAAGAAAAATTAAAAAAAAATTTTCAATATTTTTTGCGGGAATTTTTTGAATTTTCAAGTTTTTGATTCCCAAAATTACGCTAAAAAACTGCAAAAACTACTTTTTCCGCAGTAAAACTAAGTTTTCACGGCTTAAATTAAGCTTAAATAATCTATTGCAATTAGACCAAATCAAAAATTTCAAACCGGTTTTTCTAGACACTGTAAAAACTTTTTAAAAATTTTTAATTTCGTTCGAATCACGACTGAAAGGGATTTAATATGATATATCACTCAACCCTGTCCGATGATTATTTGTGGTAGCTGATTTTCCGTGGAAAATAAAAAATAAATAAGTGAAACACACCCGAAGCTGCCCAATTTTTGCTGGCAACTCGAGCCTTTTTTCAGCTTAGAAAATCTAAAATTTTCAACGCGAGTGCATATAGAACAATATTGGGAAAACGAATGAATCATACTTCCTTCCATCTGGAAATATCTCTAAAGACAAATTGAACAGAAAATAATTACGCCGCAAAAAACTTACACCCATGTTCCAGTAAAAGTTCATCCAAAAGTTATAGGAGTCCACTTAAATACAATTAACCTGTAAACATGAAAAATCAATAATCCGAAAATTTAGAAAACAAGGATCAGTCATACAAGTATTAAAATGCACGTCCCATCCCGGTAGACTAAACGTGGAATCTGCTCTTACTCAGTTCTGGATGAAATTTGCATTTCTTACAACGCGCAGAAACTTAGTTTGAGGAAGTTTTTGAACCATGATAAACAATTTTGTTTACAAAGATGTTTGTTAAAACTCAGAGTTAAAAGCCATAAAGAACAGTTATCAGGCTTACAATAAAAACTACCATGTTTTATACAATTTTTATCTCAGTCTCAAGTGTGAGAGAACGTCATTAACCAAACGGTCCGTTTTCAAACTTCTCAGTAGCAGTTGAAGTGGCGAGAAAAACTTTATATGTTAAAATATAGTTATGTTTAAAATGAAAACAAAATAGCTTCATTGGCTCCTTCGAAGAGTATGAGATGACATAACTTAACTGTTTAGTGATCCCAACTTCATACTGCTATATGTAACTTGGTCATTTTCTGGCTTCAGTCTGATGTTCTTTTCTTGCAATTCAATGCGTTCTTGGTGAATGTTTAGCTTATAAACTGGGTGGTAGCTTTTAGAAAAGGTTACAACCTATTTGGTAAGCCATCAAGCCGAAGGGCCAACCAGCCTAAAATAAGATTACCATTCCAACAAGCTGAAAATTAAAGTTGTTATACAACATAAAAACAGATCTTCGCACTGTTGTTATGTAATTCTGGTGCAATTGAAGTTATTCTGATGTAATTTTTGCCTCAAGATTTGGCTGTTTGTCATCATCCGCCTATTAAGTATACATTGCACATCATGTCTGCTCTATTTGTGGTGTGTTGTGTTATGTGTAGGGAGTGGGAGTATTGATTTCGAGGAGTTCCTGGAGATGATGGTGGCCCACATGGGGGACCAGACGGAGGAAGAGGAGGTGGAGAGAATGTTCGAGTGCTTCGACCGCGACAACGACCACTTCGTCACCCCCGGAGAACTCAGGTATAGTGCAGTACACTGAAGACAGTCTTCATTCAATCAAGTAAACATGCCACTTTAGGAGCTACAGGAGGGACTGCCATCACATCGTCCCCCCCCCCCCGCCCGACGCACTCAAAACTCAGTCAGTACACAAAATACACTGCACAAGTCTATACCTACTACCCCCTCCCCCACGCAACACACCTTGAGCTCTACCGTATGTTATACAGTGGGTATGAGTGAACGAAGAAGCGCAGAATGTTCCCAATACTAACTTTATACATTACTATGATTACCCTCGAGATAAGTAAGGACATTGCAACCGGATACTAGACTTTTTCCCCCGTATATAACTTTGTTCCCAATATGCTCAGAGGGTAATCAAAATCAGCTGTTCAGTATCCACTAATGAAGTAAGATCTTGGCCAGTGTATTGGTAACATAAATAGTTTCGAGCAAATTAAGAGTTCTTGTAGAGTGATTTTCTACACTGGTGGTCGTTCGGCCTTAATTCTGTCGGCTTATTTTCCCAAAGTTTTTTCCTATTTGTTCGTTGGTATAACATAATAATGACTGAACTCGTGCAAGAAATGTTTATACGAGTTCCGCTCCCCCTAAAACCGCCCATGATCATTGTCTTTCTGGTGAGGTTACTGAGTTCGTGAACAGCTGATTGTATTTTTGTTTTTAATTGCTTTCTAATATTAATCGAGTGAGAAAGTAGCCGTTTTATTTGATGTATCCAAGATAAAATGTATCCAAAATGCTATTAAATCCGGGAAAAAACATCAGTTCAACAGTTTCTAATTTGGTCAGAAATTTTGGAAAAATTTTTTGTTTTGAACTGTCATATCCAGTTGATTTGCGCAATTTTTCCTAAATAACTTGTTAGTTTTCTATGATTTCTCATAGATTTACTGGTTTGAAATTAAATAGCAGTATCATTTTTTGATTGTATTTTTGTTCAAGCATTTTCTGAGCACTTTTAGAACCAACTTAAAAATTAGTTTCTAGATTCTGAACTTTTCAGAAAATTGTTTGGGAAAATTTATCATTTTCAAATTTAATTTCCGTTTTTTAAGTTCAAATAGTTTGAAACTTTTTTAACGCTGATTTCTTTTTGGCTCTTAAACAAATGAGCATTTATGTTTATATTTCTTTTCCAAAAAGAACTGGTTTTTGGAATTTTGCATCATGGTGCGTTCTACAAAAAGCGCTCATCTTGTCTTATGAGCAACTTAATTAAGTACAGCCAATTAATGGAAGCGAGATTAACGATGTTTCTTGAATATTATTCACTTACTTATTTGCTGCTGATTAAAAAACTCGCGAAACAAAATTTGTTTCGCCCGGCTTCGACTCTGTGTTCAGTAACACTCCTGCTAATTTGGCTAGCTTTCATTGACGATTAATACAGGATCCGATTATTTAAATTTGAGTGTAATCAGTAAAAATATCAAGCCATTTTTTCACCATTTTGTTTAAACCTGCCGCTTAGTTGAAACCCGACCAAATGATAGATTTTTTTCGGATCTTCAAAGTTGAAAAGCTGAAAAATAATAAAACTCATTAAGCACATTTTTTTATCCCTGAGATGAAGGCGTCTGCCCCCAATCTTCACCGCCCAAAGCGTCTTTCTTGGATACCACTTTACAACGTCGATTTTCGGCCGACCTACCATAACAGTTTTCTCAACTAATACCAATTTTGAAGGGGAGCCCGAACCGAAAACCGCCGTTTTTGAAAAAAATCTTCCAAAAAACCCAAAAACGGGACTTTAGACTTAATTATTTTACAAAAAGTTGTCGGCGGTAGAGAAAATTTTGTTAAATTAGGATCTTTATGGCGTTTTAGAAGAGCTCAAAAATTGTTAGCTGGAGCTAAAAACAGTCAACGAATTTTTTTGAAAATCCGTTTACCCTCGAGAAATTCCTAGATCCACCGCTGCTCAGAGGTACGTTCGGTTTTCAACAACTTTTCAGATTTCAAAATAAATCCACCAGTACCTTTCTAAACTGAAATAAATAAATTTAAAAAAGATCGAACAAATCTTCTTAGTTTTTAAAGTTTTAATTTTTATAAATTTCAACCAGCATCAATACTATTCGGATGACATTTAAATTTATTTCAACCGTGAAATCGAGTTCTGTCCTCTACCAAAAAAAAACAACAGAGAAAACCTAACAAAGGTAAATACATTACATTAGGTGAAATTAAATAGCTTGGTCGTTTTTTGTTATGCTTCGCACATTCTTTATTTTATTTCAAAAGCTATTTTTTTTGGCAAATGAAGAGTAAAATTTGAATTTTTGAATAGTACTTCATCTGGCAGAGTAAAGTGTTTACAAAAAGTATCTCAGTGGTAAGATTAATTGAAAAAGAAATGACTATATTATGCACTATAGTTCTCAAATTTAATACATGCTCTATACTCAAAATTACCACCTATTGTAACATATCACCAAAAATTGTTTTTTTTTTCAAATTTGTTTCCCAACTTTGTGGTTGGAACCTTCAGTACTATTTGCATAACTAATCTTATCAAAAATTTTTGTATTAACAGACTAGTATTCAAAAAGATGGGCGAAGACGTGACAGACGAGGAGTTAGAGCAGATAGTACACTTAGCCGACAGGGATGGAGACGGGAAGATAGGCTGGGAGGACTTCTTGGCTGTGATGTTGGATAATAAGTGAAACTTTAGTGCCATTTTTATACACATTGATAATATCGCATTAAGAGGGTGTTTAATTGTCTGCAGTTTAAACCCAAAACAAAACTTTCCAAACTAGTACTCATTTTCAAAACTTAACCGTGTGAACGCATAGCACTTATGCATATTAAATTCTTTATTTTTAATTTGTTGGTCAATTTATTCTTATCATCATTTTTTCAACTGTTTCAGGAACACTTTTACTTAACAAGACTTCGTTAAATCAGAGTTAATTTTTCTATCAACAGATAGAGTGGACTGAAAGTATTTAAAACTAAGGATGCAACAAAAATTAAACGTGGATTTCCATTTTCTCCTGCTACGCAAAATTGACCAATTCACAAAAAAAATGAAACTTTTTGAGTAATTTTTGCATTCAAAAGTAGTTTTTTTTGCCGTGATTGTGGTCGAGAAGTTCTGAGCTTCCACAACTGCAACAAGATATCTTTGTTGATACTGAATATTTAATATTTCGCGCGTGCATTCAAGTAAAAATTTTACTCGTCAGTTCGAGGGCATCCCTCGGGCACGAAGAACAAAAAAATGTCATCCAATCAGCCTGAAGAAAAGCAGCAATCAAGACCGGCAATGAAGACCGTTTAAAGCGCAGTGATTGGTTGACCATTTTTTCGCATTCAGTTTTTTTTGCGCATGAGAAGAGCCCCCCACAAGAGTTCTGCTATCAACTATATTTTAATTCAATCGCGCCCGACACTACCGAAAACAAAAAGTGGAAGAAAAATTAAAGACTTACGAAAAAATACAAACTCCAATGAAAGAATTGGATTCTTGTATACTTGTCAAGAAGTATGGTCCAGGAATTTTCAGGAGTTGCATTTTAAATTTTTTTTTGAAGTCTTTAAGAATTTTTATTTCCATCTTTCGTTGTATTACACTAAGACCATTTATCCAAGGGGGAAAGGACCAACACAAGAGCTGTACAGCTCATCACGGCGAACCGCTGTTGTGCCCCTGTTTAAGAACTACATGCAATTTTTTTTTTTGGTTATTTTTCTGGGCTGGGTAATGTTGCTTCACCCTCAAGCAACGAGCACGGATCATGGTGGGCCTCGAACATCCGACGAAATTTGCCACTAAAGTATTCTATAAAATGAAACAAGACTGCTTGTATCAGGGCGAAGCCCTGAATGTTCCGACTGCTTTTTAAGGTTTATGGAGCAGTAATAACATTTAGAAAATTCAATGAAATAAAACAAAACGAAAAATTTTTTTTTCTAAAATTTAAATTTTTTTAAATGAAAATCATCCCCCCACACGCCATGTAAAGTACAAAAGGATAGTCTTCGCTCCTTGAAACAAACCAATTATGGCAAATAAGCTTCTTTTAACCAATTTGGAACGATTTGTAAGACGGATTAAATCTCCGCTTACGCGTTAATAACGCGAAATATATCGCGCGTTAATTGTCCCAAATTGGCCAAAATGGCAATCTTTAAACCCCCGTAACTTTACGAAAAATGATCACAGGTGAAATATCTTTTCAAATTTGAGCTCAGGACAACAATACCTTTCGAATGATATAAAAAGATTCCGTCAAAAATGGCTGGTTAAAAAGTCGAAATTTGTCTGAAGAAAAAAAAACCCACCCCGAGCACAAATTTTCCGTTATTTTCGTATCGAAAGTCGGAACAATTATCAAAAACATCACTTCGCTGGCAAAGCTTCGAAACTCCCCTAAGAACTCTTCGGTCTGATTTTTATATACACTATAACAAGTTTTTAGGGACCATATTTCTAAACGTTGTTTTTAAAGGTAACCGATTTTCGAAATCAAAGACTTATCATCACCTATATAAAATGAAATTGGTATTCTCATTTTTTTTAAATCATCAAAATGGAAAGAAATTTACCGGAATACTTGTGACACGTGTTTGTTTCGTTCGGTTTTGTTGAACAAACCACATGCAAAACGTGCTAGAGGCAATTGCTGCGAGACAAAACACTCCTCTCACATGTAATTCTAAATTGCAACTTATATTGCATCTGAAAAGGTTTTCAATATGCTTTACAATTTTTCATCTGACTTTTGTGGCATCTGAATTCGCGTGATAAACACCGCACCCTAATGCAAAATTTTGTACTGTTGCCATATAAAGTACAAAACAAAAGATTTCGCTCATTGTAACAAATCAATTATGGCAAATAAACTTCTTTTAACTAATTTGGAATGATTTCTAAGACGGATTAAATCTCCGCTTACGCGATAATAGCGCGAATTATATCGCGCGTTAAATCATCAAAATGGAAAGAGATTTACCGGAATACTTGTGACACGTGGTTGTTTCGTTCGGTTTTGTTGAACAAACCACATGCAAAACGTGCTAGAGCCAATTGCTGTGAGACAAAACACTCCTCTCACATGTAATTTTAAATTGCAACTTATATTGCATCTGAAAAGGTTTTCAATATGCTTTACAATTTTTCATCTGACTTTTGTGGCATCTGAATTCGCGTGATAAACACCGCACCCTAATGCAAAATTCGTTCCCTGATTCTGTGACCAGAATAATGAATTAAAAATGACTGCTAGCTATAATAAGACTGCTCGTATCAGGGCGAAACGTTTATCGAGCATTAATAACAAAAACAACATAAGAAAATTTAAATGAAATAAAATGAAAAATTTTTTTTTCTAAAATTTGAAATTATTTTTATGAAAATCATCCCCCCACACGCCATATAAAGTACAAAACAAAAGATTTCGCTCATTGTAACAAATCAATTATGGCAAATAAACTTCTTTTAACCAATTTGGAATGATTTCTAAGACGGATTAAATCTCCGCTTACGCGATAATAGCGCGAATTATATCGCGCGTTAATTGTCCCAAATTGATCAAAATGGCAATCTTTAAATCCTCATAACTTTACGAAAAATGGTCACAGGTGAAATATCTTTTCAAATTTAGGCTCAGGACAACAATAGCTTTAAAAAATTCCGTCAAAAAGTCGGACAACAATAGCTGTAAAAAAGTCTGTCAAAAGTGGCTTGTTAAAAAGTCGAAATTTGTCTGAAGAAAAAAAAACCCACCCCGAGCACAAATATTCCGTTACTTTTGTATCGAAAGTCGGAACTATAAACAATGGAATCAAGCCTAAATTTGTTCCGCTGTCGGGATAGGGACTCTTAGAAACCTGAAAAGATGAAAAATTGAGTATTAGAAAATATAGCCAACTGACAGTTGGAAAAGAGTAATGAACGCAAGGAAACAGAAAAAAATGAATGTTTTTTTTTCGAATTTTAAATAAAAGCATATGCCTTTAAAGCTTTTTGAATTTCACTGAAAACTTGATTGGTGCTTTTGGATCAATTGAGCAATCCGCCCCTCCGCCGTAATGACCAATTGAGCTATCTCCCCCAAGCAAAAACGATAAAAGGCTACAAAATACGTCAGCAAACGCAAGTAGCTGGTTAATGTTCCTTGCACGCAATCAATTGACCGACTGAAATTTTTTTCAGAAAAGAAAAATTTTCAAAAAAAATATCGAAATTTCGTTCACTTTTTTTTTGCAAACTTTTGTTTGGGCGAAAATTGCCTCATCGAGCAAAGCGACTTTCCAGTATTGGTGCTCTAGCCTTGCTTGTATCTGAATATCAAAAACTGTTCTCCACAGCACACTAAAAATTGCTTTTTCCATTTAGGACAAAAAAGGGGCTTTATGCGACTGAAGTCGCGTCAGTTTTATTAATCATCTTTTTTCACTCTGAATGTAATTTTTGAGCTTTGATATTGAAAATTTTGGCGTTTCACTATTTCACTATCGTTGAAGAATCTGATTTATGATTCCATATCAGTCAAACAACTTTGAAGTGGTTGTAAACATGTTTCAAGTACCTGTTGAGTTATCTCCCCTCCCCCCCTTATGATTGATACTTTTTTCTTTCAGCTTTCCCATGTCAAAAAAAACTCATCAATAGGTGAAAAATTTTTTATTCCACTGTGAATGCAGAAAAATGAAGTCCATTTTTGAAACTAGAAGCAAATCCATGTTTAAGTGGCCTTAACACTTTTTGCTGTTCGAAAATAGAGATTGATTGCCTTTCAACAAAGGGAACAAACTGAACTTAAGAAAAATCAGAAGCCAAACCGCAAAAAAAATCAAAATTGAGCGTAAACAAATTTTAAGACTTTTTCCTGAAATAAAAAATCAAAAAGTTCACCAAAACTTATAGAAGTGTACCCACTTTGTTCATTACTGTCAAAAACCAATAATGTCAAACACAAAAGAAAACCTGAGAACCATTAGAGAGTTACTACGAGACAATTAAATGAAACTTAATGGAAATATTTTAGTGCAAACATTTTTGCTGGCCATAACCGACTGAATTTTATTCAACCAATACAACCCAAACATAAATCTGGTTAAAATATCAAAATTAGTTTTGGCAAGAAAAAATGGAGTTCAAATATGTTAAGCTTCGATGACATGCACTCTATGAATACAAAAATGAACCACTGCAATTAGTTTTCAATTAGCCCTTAATACATGCCCTTTGATCAAAACCACTAAACAAATTATCCATTAAACATTATCCCGCACGCCGCATCGAAAACCTTTCGTTACAGCAGAAACAATTAAGCCAAGTCCTATTTGAATATGTCAAACGAAAACCGAACGAATTGAACACACAAATTGCGCTCAAATTTTAGTATAAACTTCAGTACAAAAGCTTTTAATACGTTGGAAAACTTTTAGCAACTAAAACAATTTATTCATAATTTGGTCAGAAGCGGATTTAACGGTGGGGGGGGGACGCCTCCTCCCTCACGAATTTGACCCCCTGCCGAACTACTATTTTTGGTATATCTATTTTTGTCTATCGTAATTTTGAGCGGGGAGCGCGCGCTAAAAAACGCAATTTTTTGGTCGAAATTAAAAACGCTTTATTTCAAAAAATTGCAATCGGCGCAGAAATTTTCGTCAAATTAGAGTCTTTATAGTGGTTTGAAAGAGCTCAAAAAAATCAATTTCGTCGAGCTAAAAAAAGGTGGACAAAATTTTCAACATTTTTTTGAAAATCCGCACCCCCCCCCCACTCGAAAAATTCCTAGATCCGCGTCTGTTTTTGGTTTTGAGTACATAAAAATTAACTTATGTAAGAACT